TATGCTTGAGACATAAACACTTAGATAAGATCAACGTTTACTTAATCATACACATAACATACGATTACACGCCTTATAGATGAAACCGGGGATAACCTTGAAGTCAGCCAATAATCGTCATCCAAAGTATTCAAATCTAATGTGGGCGGTGTGAGATTAAGCTGTTAGTTGGTCAGTCACATGAATAAATATCGATTTAAATTAAAATATTAATTGGTCATTACCAAGTGTAATATGACCATTTAGTTGTGTAACAAAAATAATAATAAGAATGATAAATAACAATATTAGTAATAATTTTAATAATAGTGATGTTAATAGGATTAGTCTGCTTAAATTAAAATTATTTGTACTACATTTTCACATCATTCCTGAGGTAAAGGTCAGAGTGTACAGTAAACTTGCCATTTACTCACATGACTTTATCTGTCATAATAGTATTCTGTATTTTAATAGACCAAATATAATTGCCATTGGACTAGCTAAGATATTACTTAATTTACTGAAGTAACTGACGCCTAATAGAAAAGAAATATTAGAATAAAAACAAAATTTGCAATAAAAACAGATAGAAGCTGGAAATGTCAGAGTATATAGTACAATACATAGTGTGGGTTCACATCCAACTTGGCAATACAGTCTCTTTTGTTAGATGCAATAAACAGACGTTTCTGTCAGTCACTTGTATTTCCATGCATTGAGCCACATACATGTTGTATGACAGCTGATACTGGTACGTGGCTGATGAAACTCCGTTAGGTGGATGGCGCGGGGAGCAGTTCGAAACTATGACCCATTGGTTGAAAGCCAATTACCTCAACACTAGCTGAAAAGTAGAGTCCCGATAAGGTGATTTTTTTGGGTTTTTTTTATTTTTGAAATAATTTGCCGATATTATCCTGTGACGGATCAGCCATACAGGATACAGAGTATAATTTAGCCAACCCATCCCTTCATTCTTTCTTTTGAGTTCCTAGGGAAACATAAGGCATCAAGCTTGAGCTATGAAGTTTCAGTAGCAGTGGTATTTATTTTTTACGGGATGGAGTTGATAGCTTCACACCCCACCTCCACCGTTCACACTAGCCAGCTAATGTAAAGCCATACTGGAAATTTTCAGCACCAATTGTATTTTAATTAATCTGCTAGCTGAAGTAAAAGAACCAGACTAATTACTGCCCAGTGGTTGGAACAAAAGTTGAACAGACTGACAATTGTTGCTCAGTAGTTGAAATTATTTTCAAATGTTCACAACTGACGGAAGAGCTTGAAGTGAAACTAAAATCATATTACTCTGCATCACTTGTTGCTTTCTAACCTACCGTATTACATAAATCAACTTATTGACATGATGTGTGATTACGATTTATTGGATTAGATATTCAACTTTCAGTTGACAGGTTATTGTCTCGCATCCCTTTGAAACTACCGAGGTTTCGACAGCCAGTTGGTGTCACTACGCTAAACAGTAAGAGCAGATCACTGCCATGTATGTTAATATGCTTAAGGTTGTTGAGTGATATTACAAATAATGTAAGTGGTACGACGTGGTTTCATATTACACATAGTTAGTTAGATTTGTTTCTGTATTAAGTAACTGATACCCTCTCTTTAATCTCAAGAGTAAAATCTTACTGTTGTATTAATTAATTCATTTCTAAGTAAACAAAAAGCCATTTATCACATTAAATTATAATAAAAGTCTGTGAAAAGTTACTTAAAAAGCACACACAACAACTAACCTTTACTTTAATATCATTCAATGATACTAAATATCTCAAATTTATCATCAATGGGCACCCTTCATATCGATATCTTGATCGAATGCATCGCTATATGAATTGATATTATTATTATTAGCATCATTCTTGTTGTTTTTGTCAGTACTATGGCCTATACTCAACTATACTAGCAATAATCCGATTACTCACAAAAGAACTGTGTGCAGACATTGTTTAAAAGAATTCAAACACCACTGTAGCACTCCAGAGTTGAAAAGAATGCAAGAAAAACATCTACAAACGGTCTTCAAAAAGAATGGTTATCCACAAAATTTAATCAAAAAGTGTTTTAAATCAAATAACAATACCAACAAGGAACCATCATCAAAGACCAAAAGGAAATTCATCCTACCATACATGAGAAATATCTCTGAAATATCAGCTAGAATACTGAAACCATCTGATATAGATATAGCACACAAACCAGTCAAATCGCTTAATTCCATATTATGCAAACCAAAAGATCCAACAGAAAAAGAAGACAAAAATAATACCATTTACAAAATAAATCGTATGAACTGTAACAGGCCAAAGTGGGCGTCCCCTTCGAATCGGAATCCAGAAATATAAATCAGCCGTGAAAATACACAATATAAATTCTTCAGTATCAATGCACATAGACAATTGTGGACACCAGTTTGATCATTCGGATAATGTCGAAATCTTGGACAGAGGAAACACCAAAAGTGCAGTCCGGGAATTCCTAGAAGCCTGGTACTCAAACGAGTATGCAATTAACAAACACGTTAATATAGACCAAGTATACCGACTAGTAAAAAGTAAATCATGTGACCAGAAAGTTTAAAATCCAAGTCAATAGAAAATGGTCAATACATATGTAAAGATGGTTACCGAGAGACGGAATTATATCACCACTCATGAAGAAATTTAAATCATTTCACTTTGTGTTAAATATTGCACTGAAGATGTTGTCCAGAAGGACGACGAAAGCTCCGCAACTAAACCAACCACCTCAGAGAACACTATCAATTGCACATGAGACATTATTTTTAGTTTCTATCAAAACCATACTCCAATCTTTTAAAACACTTTCAAAGTACCAGCTTATACCAATTACATGCTAATAGCTTGTGTGTAATCATATAATAGGATAAATACCTCTACAAATACATATTATCATTCAGGATTTCAATTTCAGTACATTCTCTAGTCGAATAAAGTTGAGGAAGTATGTTTAAACTTTCTATTGTTTAGAAAGATCATTGTACATTACTCTTCTACGTGTAATACCTCTTCGATAGGTGGAAAAAGCCTCAGTAAAAACGCCTTCATCATACGCAACTCTAACTATGCGCAGATAAGTGTTAAGCGTTTCTCGTTTCAACAAACTCAGTCATTTAAACGGTATAACAAATGACTAACACAGTCAGTGCACACATGACATGAATACAACTTAAGCTACCTTTCGCCAAATTATTTACGTAAAGACTTCGTGAAAATGAGAGAAAATCTATACTTTTTCACCGGTTACATAATGAATAAACTGGTAAATAGTGACAAACTCGACTGTCGGTGTTAGAAATCGATTCTTATTCACATTAGATAATATTTGCATACAAAAATTCCTTCCAAGCGGCTGAACACATATTCATGAAGACGGATTTGTTGACAACTAGAACACGAGCCTAGAGCTAAACTTCCAACGGGTTTTCAATCATCTTAAATATTGACATTATGAGAATTGTAGAACACGATTTAGGCTTAAATTACTGTAAACTAAGATGAATGTGGATGTAGACATCATTGTTTTAAGCTGTTTTGATTTCACAACTTAGTACATCATCCTTTTCCCACGTATCGACTGAAATGCGTTATTATTGCTATAAATGGTTAGGATTCGATTTTAAACATCAATGAAACTGGCAAATATAAGTCTCAGTATACAGTGAGTATTAAATCTATTGATAATTTATGTTGAAGCTTATATTTTACACAATAGCGTTTATAAAAATGACACGAATGAAATAAATAAACAACATTCTAGATACTTCAGGCGTTTAGTACCAACCAATCTAACTGGACGAATGAACAATCGATGAAATATAGGGTTTGAAGTAGTCATCAAACTGATACGAGTAGACAAGTACAGACACAAAATAGCTGTCTAGACAATGACCTTGGCAGACTATTTGCAACCATGCCATAGGGACATATAAATGTATGTTATGACGCTGCTGTCAAACTGCAAAACGAAGTCAAGTAACAAGGTTGTTATGTCTAGATATCCAGACTGTATAAATACTTTGAAATTTGTTACGTATCAAGCTGTAAGGAAAATTGTTTTGAGGTGTTGCAGAAAGTATTGCTTCTACTAAAAACGAATGGAAATCACCCTAAAGTCTCTATCCGTGAATTATTAAGTAAGAAAGGAAATGGTAGTGTTCGTATACTAGCGACTGGATATTTTGATATGAAAACTATTGAAGAACAACTTACATTCGCATGCATCTGGCAAACAAGTCACAACTATTACATGAAGACTGTCAGACTTTTCAGTAATAAGGTAAGATTTGGAACTAATCAGAATCATATCATAGTCGGTCTTTACCTTCATGTCATCTTCAAATACTCGAGTGTTTCCCCACACGCTACTGAATCAATCTCTAAGTTTTTCTAAAATTAATACAAACATAAAATCATTTCAAGGTGAAGCAGGAGTTGGACTGTATAAGACTTAAAAATTTGCAGAGAAGAATAAAAGCCGTAAAACTGGTATCTAATCGTTTAATATTAACATAAAATTGGTAGAAACACAAAGACGTTATTTTGAACACTTAAGAGTATCATCTTAGTTATTTTGGGTAAGACTACACTTTACTCCGATACTGAGAACAATACTAAGTGAATTATATTGTAATTATCATAGCCTACAGGTATTTGTGAACACTGGAAGGTGATGAAACGGCAATGCACATCCATCTTTTAGGTATTTTTTTTATTTGCAAGAATGACAACCGGAAGACTAAAACTTCTACTTCCTAGGATGGACATTACGAACGATACTATACACTGATCTTGACTGCAAATTTCCATACATTACGTATGATGTTAAAAAACGCGTTCAAATCCATGAATAGATCAATTAAACGAACTGAAGTCATTCAACATTTCAAACAGATTTATATACTTAACTGAACGACAAAGAAGATACCGAAATCGGCCCAATCACTAAGTGTTGTGCATACTTGACTGACTTACCGCTCATCATCATAGATAAATTAGACTTGATGGTAGATTTTTGTTGAAGCAGAATAATTACTCAGTTCATTTAGTGATCTTAACTATAAAAGTGAAATGCAATAGCTTATTAATCAATACTATGATTATCAGTAAAGTATCTCCACTATATGAGTGCATAAGTAATAGAGATTTTTGTTAGTTATTCGTGTATGTGTATTATATAACACATGCGTAGAAAACATTCATAAGATGTACACACTTTAGCTTCCATGACAGTTATAACCTACCAGACTAATAAAAGGCAAATTGAAACAAGAAGTTTATTGTTTATCATAATTTTTTTATAACAGTGCAGTTAAGGCTAGAAAACACACAGTAGGAACTAATAGATTGTAACCATTCATCCATGCACATACACAAAATGCACACACACACATATACATATATGAATAGATGAAAATGCTACAGCTGTGCATAATTGTCAGTAGTAATAATAGTGTAATGTTCCATATAAGCATTCTTCTCTCTCAACCGGGTAAACGACAAAAACCGACAACACAGCATTTATATCTTTTGTTTTATTAAAAAATATCATTTTGTATCGACATAAAGAAATACAAACTTATACTAAGCAAATTAAAGCTCTTTTCACCACATACATACATATTCGTAAAATACACTCAAGATACAATTTAAATTTTCTATTCTTTAAATCATCTATCTGTTGTAATTGATTAATTTCTTGAAATGAATGCGTGTAGTGCACTTAGTGTGAATATTCAACGACGAGTAAGTAAGTATTTAAAAAATGGTAACAAACACGAATTCTTGACCTTCTCCGGAAAAACACCTGGGAAAAAGAACCCTAGATCACGTAATACACACACACACACGTAGACATGGAATAAGTGAAGACATCATTAAAGAGCAATACAAAAAATATATATGTAGAAAACGTAAGCAATAGAAAAGTATTATATCATTTCATTTCAACTCCACTAGAACTCAACCACTTGTATGTAAGTTATTTTCTAAAGTTCAATCGCCAGTAGGCGTATAAATTATGAATGGATTAGTATAAGGGTATAGATAAGTAATATATAACAATATGTATAATAATAATAACAATGAATAGCAATAAGTGATAAATGAAGATTACGAAGGGTGATGAGTAAAAACAGTAGAACATAGTTGCATATACTATATAATAAGTAACAGCAAACATAACAACAAAACAACATATCTCTGTATCTATCTAAACTGTTTGTTATCATTATTGTTGTTGATAGTCATTATATGAAGAATTGTAAATGGATAAAGTGAGAATTTCAACTTTGTGTAACGAATATAGAATCGAGTTTTATGTTAAGAAACACCTGAACTTAAGAACAAACAAACAATATTGTCAAAATACCTGTCTCCAATAAATGATAAAGATCGACCTATTGAGCATATATGGTGAATTGACGTAATAGGAGTGGATGACATACAGAGATTAATGCACAGACATGGACATATTTTAATTAATGTTGTTGGAAAATCAGGAAACATCTAGTCCAATTTACAAAAATAAGGCTTGTTAGCCAAAGATATACCATAGGAAGAAGACAAAGAAGGCGAAAACGATAAGAAAAATTCCGAAGCAGAATATATAGGTTTAATATGGTATATGGAAACAGAAAGTGTAACTAAATAGTAAATGTACTTCAAAAAAACATAAGTTTTGTCTATCATCTTGAATAAATTATATCTCAAAGATATTTTTCGCTTTTTTAAAATTTATTTTTCACATACGATTCAGTATGAATGTCATTTCATTCTCGAAAAATAATAGTGAAATAAGTATGTAAGAGTTGGAGGAAAGCAATGTGCCTATGGAAAGGAATAAAGATTGACGGAAAAAATCACCTGATTTGAATGAATAAGAGAGACAGTGTATGAACATTGAAAAATGAACCGGTAGATAGAGAATTCTGCAAATTCAACCATCTTTTGCTTATTTAAATCTCAGAGAAAGAAAGAGAGAAACCTGACAATGTATTTTTAAATCTGACACAGGGAAAATCAAGAATAACCTTTAACATGATTATTAAAATAACAATTTTTATATATAATGTAATACCATACATAGGAACAAAAACAGTAACATAATAATTAATAGATAAGAAAAAGAGCACCGTGTCTGTACGACATATGATCGACAAAAAAATAATACGGGAAAACCTTTTCATTAACAAGTAGCCATAAGTAGTACAACTCAACAAAGAAAATCGACAATCCAATTACTAGACATAAAATAATAGTTACGATTTTGAGTGTTTCTGTTAACCAGACATCTATTATAATGACTTGATAAATAGTATTGGTAGTGTTATTGCTAGTAACAGAACCTGATTATATTCTAATATATATAAAATATTAAGACAATATGACGAACATTACTTGATCACACATAGTGTAGACAAAAAGAAACAGACATTTAACAGAAAACACTAAAGAGAGGGGGATATAATAATTGGTGGTTTACAAAACTACAATATAAAGCTTACCAGAGCCACGAAACAGTAATATAGGTAGGCATGTAGATTGACTGATATATGATGTTCAAGAAACAATAGAATAATAATAATGGTAACAGTAATGGTAATCAGCACACAGCTTATTTAGAAAATAAAGATATGCACGATCTGATGGAGTTAAATATAGTGCATAATGTGATGATTCAGATGAAATGCTACATTCAACTATTCCTGTTCATGAACGTATGAGATACCAAGTAGATATCATATATGAATGTTGAAGAGTGAATAGAATTGAACAATCTCCTTTCATTGAATAACAAACTGATGGTAATACAAAAATAATGCCGATGATAATTTGTTTGTGTCTACTGCACAAATCATTTCCTGAATACATATATATATGTATATATGATCGAAACATGCACAGACAAAGCGAGATAAATTACCTCTCACACAGAGATTATTTATGTGATAAACATTTCTTATGGATTCATATCATTTTGCGGTCATTCAAAACCGGGAAGAAAAATGGATCAAATTCTAGAAAAGACTTCTACTTTGGGAAAAACAAAAAAACGGGATCGATAATTCTGTTTTTCTTGCTGTTATAGTTCAGAATTTCCTCTGTATATTCTTTGTTTATGTGTAGACCCTAACCCGGGAATAAGATTGATTTCTTTGCATATATGAATAACCGGGAAGGGAAAATTCTGACAAATGTAGATGACAGTATACAGTCACAAATGTTAGCAATGTAAGCTGATTAGTTTGATAAAGAACCCTGAGAAATGTAATGAACAGAAGATCCAGACGGCGAGAATACAAGAAAATGTGTGTGTGAGAGAGAGAGAGGGAGGAAAGGTGGCTATCGAAAAGCAACCAAAACATGAAAGGAGAAATAAATCGTTGTTATGAGTTAAAGAACCAACTGAAACGAGAAACAAAAAGTGGTATACATTTGCAGAGTGGTAGTGGTATCCATTACTAGATGTTATATTTCCGATAAACATTGAAAAAGGATGAACACCAGAGAGAAACATATTTCGGTACACTGGCTGGAAGGCAATTATGAAACCCAAAAGCAAATATCTGAAAAAATAATACCACATAAATAGTGGTAGTTGTAGTAACAAACACTGGAATAATAATAATAGTAATAATTAGCCGAAATGCGATAACCAAGTCTCTCACTTAGCATACAAAGGTAAATTATATAATAGAGTAAATATTATGGGAGATTTAAAAATTGGTAGATTTGAGGAATACATGATAATAATCTATTGCATGCCTAAGTTCACATAAGGTTTACAGTTTTTTTAATATTCCAAGTAGCATATATATATATATATATATATGTTTATATTGACAGGTAAACTAAAAAAACATTCAAACGATTAAGAGGTTAAAAACAACACATAACATAAAGACTGAACAAAGCAAGATTGTGTCTAGGCCACTTCTGTAATCGATGCGAGTGCTGAGGAAACAGACAAAGACATTGTGTCACTATCAGATGACAAAAGATTTGGACTGGGGCGTCTACGTCGACGGCCTTCTCCGATAGCTCCACAACGTGCAGACTGATTACTACCATTTATAGTGCCATTTTCTGTTCCATTATTGTTATTATTTGAACTGGAAGTGGTATATTCACTTAAATTTTCTGAAAAATACGCCACACTCTGAGAGACATCATTTTGGTTACATTGATGGTGATTTTCACCAAGTCCACTTTCAAAGTAAGAAAATCCGAAAGAATCATCAATACTGTTTGATGAACAGCCATTCGGAATGTGATCATTGTTAGCCTGAGACCAAATTGAACTATTAATTCGACTAGATATAGTAATATCATTATCAGTAGAAACTACATTGGACGTCTGACTACCAGGATTACTAAACAAACGTTGTAGTACAGAAGTATTCGAGAATAGCCTCGACCCCATCAATGATTCTGAGCAAGATGATGGAAGTGTAGGAATAAGATGAACATTTTTATTGCCATTTGAATGGTTGCCATTGGTACTACCATGTGTTTTATTTGGATTTGAAGATGACCAAAGTTTGTTTGAACTCACGAGGGATTCTTTGGACTTGAGAGTGAAAACCGATTCGTTATCATTGGGATCATGCGATTCAAAGCCAGGTGGACAAGCAGTCATATTGTTATTGATTGTAGTACAAAGTGAATTAGTAGAACTAACGACTGGATCTTTATCACAGGATGAATTCAAGCATAACTGATCCAAAGCATGAATAAAATTAAAACTGTTAACAGAGTATGATTGTGTACCTGACTCACTGTCATTAGCGACAAGATGATTACGAGGTGAAGAAGCACTATCTCCTGAATCAGCTGTTATTTCAGTAAGTAGATGAGATGAAGGCACCAACCAATCACTATGTCTGCGTGTCAGAGGTTGATGCAAATCTTGTTCATTTTGCTGTTGTTGTAGACGATTATGCAGTAAGATAGTTGGACTGACATTTCCATCGGCTTCCTGTCTGGACTCATTGAAATTGAACATAGCAGTATCAAAAGCACTATCTAATGCTCGACTGTTTAGAATACGATTGGGATTGGAAGCAAGTACATTACTGTTGTGATTAGATGATGAAGTCATTAGATTATTAAGTGCTGAATTAGAGCCAACATAACCATGAAGTCGGGTACTGGATTCCGTTTGGACCGAAGTGAATGATGGAACTGCTGAATTCCATATGTCCGAAACTAAATTAGAACCAGGAGCTCGGTTAAGATGGATGAGAAAATCATTTGGTGCAGACAGGTCAAAATCTATTGATAAGAAGGAATATGTAGATTTTAATTAATAATACCGTTATTAGCAAAACCAACATCAACTTTACTTCTTAATAATAGATGAACTGAAGAAAATTAACTAACCAGACACCTTGTAAGCCGACAGAAAGAAATAAACAAAACAGAGCCACGTGCATTTGAGTATCTATTAAGTTTTCGGACAGCGTATCGTATTGAGGTTGAGTCATTAGAAATAAAACAAATTCCATGCTGTAAATTTTTATTGTTGTGGAATAAAGTGATTATTATTATTAAACAGAAGTATCAGAAACTGAAAGGAAAGACGCATACAGTTTAGATGAAGATTATGCGCCTGTGACCGACTGTGTTATACCATCCGATTTCCAATAACTTTCTTTAATGATGTTCCAAAAAATATCAAGTTTACCAGTGTTTCCACGAGAATAATAAGCTGAAAAACTTGCTCTACCAAGCAAAGAAACCGAGTATATGACCTATCTAAATACGACTACAATAAATATACTAAAACTAAATATTTTCAAAATCAGACTTCAGTCGTGGATATTATTCCATCACAGAATACTTATTCATGAAAGCTACCAAGGACTTGCAAGCACACGATGCAAAATCAAAAGTAATTTTTCTCCTCCTCACAGGTTGGAAGGATAAATCAATCAGATCATTTAATGTGTATAACACCTAAAGCCTGTCAATACCTGTCCACCTAATCCCGTTGAAATTCAAGTTTTAAATATTTTGATTGCTAGCTAATGAAGGCTTAATGCTCATTTGCATTTCAGTTCTACTATTGAAAACTTAATCACAGCAATAGATGAAGGTTACACAACTAATGTGCCACCTGAACAACAACTGGAAGATATGAACTCACCCTTAAACGTTTTTGCTCCTCCTTTATGTGAAGATTTATCACTAACTAGTTTTTCCTTTTTCTGTTGAAGTTAGTTTAAATCCTTGCTTTTTATCTCCATTACCCTCATTACTTGCCTAGCTTTCACTTCTCACTACTGTGGAAATTACGCAACTAACCTACACCTAAACTAGGTTTTAATGCATTAACTTTATCAGATCGATTAGGGGGAGAATAATTTAACAAGGCAAATTAAGAGAAATAAATTGAAAAACATAATCCGGATTTTATTTATTTTGTTTTTAGTCACCGAAAGCTGCAAGTAGTACAAGTTGTTACCACTTGATTTACCAATGAGCATTAGTACACTTGAACAATGCTAAATAAAATTAGTCTGTTTAATTTCTAACGTACAACCAAATGAGCTAAACATAACACATACAAATATAGATTGAGTACCAATATCCCATCCTTTGTCCCTAGAAGTCGTGGCTGAATAGAAGGTCCTAAGTTTCAAACCCCGGGGAAACTACTGAAGAACTCCAAACTAAGACGAAACAAAGATCTGGTACTTCCAGATTCTCATATGGTTCTCTAACCGATGTCAACTCATGACTGAATCTGTCACCAATTAAATCCGTACAAATCAACAGTTGATAACTAGAGGTTGTATCGTTAAAATTCAAAAGAGATTGAGAAAACCGCAATTTCTACCAATAAACGATGGAAGTGACGACAAAGCTATAAAAATGTGGTGATACAAATACGTAACTACATGTTACGTTATTATCCAAGTGAAATAAGAGATTTTGTGAATATTTATGGCAGTGATGATTACATGAATGACCAACTTTTTCCCACAATTTCTATCCACCCTATACAATAATTCCAATCAGGTCAATACAGTGATAGGTTTAAACACGTTTACATTCACTATATACTCAATACAAAAAATATAAATTCATCTTATGAAAAAAATTTGTACCAAAACATGTTCTGCAACCCATACCTCTCACAGACATGTTTAAACTCGTTGAGAGTTAACACATTAAACATTCTTCATGTCATGACATGTGGGCGAATAGTTTCTATGATGTAAACTCATAAATATAAATCTCCGATATAAAAATAAAGCCGACTTTCAAACCGTTTAAAAATCACGTGCATTAAAACTGTTAGCCAAATGTACTGTGTTACAACTTGCAATATCATAGAGTTGCTAGAACACATTCGATGGAATTAATTTACTGACAAATAAACTTAAACTGCTAAACGACGCAGCTAGTACTCTTAGAGGATTTGTTAAGAATACACTAACAAAAACTTTTGCTACGTCTACACTGAACTGAAATGTGGTCATTTCGAGTTAATATATTTATGTTTATAGGTTTGGCAAAGATTACTATTTCCACGTAACTATAAAAGAAAAGAAAATGATATTATCCTTCAATCCATTCTTCGAAAACAGCACTTTTTATTGAGATAATTAACTCACGTAGTGACAATACTCTTAAGCGACTAATCCAGTGAGAAAAATAAAGTATGACTGAAAACAAATACACTTACTTTGAAGAGTACGCGGAACACATGCCTGAAATCCATTAGATACACCATCACTTGAAGTAGTTGAAGCACGATGATTAAAGTGACCATTATTTGGACTAAATGTAGCCGACAACAGTCTTGACTCATTCAGTGAACAGTGGCTGTTAGAATTAACTTTGGAAACTGAGGCTTCACCAGAATTTACATCGTCACAACCATTTGTCTGAACACCATCAAAATATGTTCCATTCAACATGTGAGACTGGAAATGATTAGAATGTTGGTTGTCTCCAGTTAGACTCTGTGAACCAGTACAGCTATTAGGATTTAGTAAAGAACCTGTTGCATTTAGTGCAGATACTGAACAACTGGAGGTCGACGATGGCCCACTGGATACTACAGCAAGTTCCTTTGCACGGCGAGTTTTGTTCTTTGATTCAGCCAAAATTCGATCTAGTACCTCACGCGCTTCTTGTGAATCCATCTGAGCAACATCAGGCCACATCCAGCCCCCACAACCGCTCCCATTTGTTTTCGAAGTACTGTTACAAACATTTTGCATAGTGGGAGCACTGGAACCGTTACCTCTTTGTTCTTCGGAACTCATATTAGATGATCCAGAAGTTTCTTCAACTTCTTCACTAGCACGTCTCTCTAGCTGCCTCATAACCAAGTGACCAATCAATTGCTTGGCTTGTTGGACTCGACATTCAGCAGCTTGATTCGAACTCAAACCTAACCCCTGATATGCGGATATCTCAAACTCAGAAGTTGCGTTTGGACCGCGTGCCGCCTCCTTAGGAGGACTTTTGATCTCAGTACCAGTGTCTTTTTGTATTGTGGTAATAATTGAACCTTGAGTCCCGATTATTTTGCCCACCATTTCCTGAGGAACGGATATTCGACCACGCGCCAGAAGTACCCGACTACCAGGGGTATTTGTACCCGAAAATAAACCAGCGCTGGTGATTGTATTCGTTTGCATTTGGCTGCCCAATGTGTTTGAGTTTCCAGGACTAGCTGGCAAACTAGAGAATGTAGGTGTGAAAATGGATGCATTTGGGCTACGAAGCGAACCATTGTTTGAAGAAAGCGTCCCTCCGTTGAGTGATGCATTCACGGTCGTAGATGGATGAAGTGGAGAATTATTTACACTATTACCCAGTGACAAAATCCCAGAAATAGAAGAGCAAGAGTTAGGAACAAAGTTATTTGAACCACCAGGAGTTAAACTCGGTCCCAAGTTCCCACTAGATCCGTTTGTAATATTCACACCATTTTCATTACCACATGGTTGAGAACTTGTGGATCCACGTCTTCTTTCTCCAGCAACAATTTTGCTTTGAGTTATTTCTTGAGCTCTTGTGGCTAAATGATGAGCGACACGCATTGCAATTTCTGGAGGTGCTTCAATAATAAAAACATGTTCCTCTTGTTCACCAGGAGTTGTAATTAAAGCACCAGTTTCTTCGCGAATAAGTTTGATTTTTTGACCTAATAAATGGAAAGGAATTATTCTTTTAAAAATTGTACAATAATTAGGTAGCTATTCCAAAAACAAACAGAGGCAATCACATAACTAGTTGCGGGTCGACTAAGTTAAATAAAAATATAGTGCAAACTGGCTGCATTTCAACAGCGATCTACGAATTCCATAGTATGAGTTTTCCTTGTTTGAATATTATTATAAATCATTGTATTCCCTGCATTACTGAATAGATGTATTTTACATCAGTTCAACATATTGCTTATGAACCTGCTTTTGTTGTTTCTACGCCGATTGTTGTCGGGGAAATTCAAACCGTCACTAATAATTTCGAGGACTTACGCGTAAAGGCCGTAAACGTGAAAAAACATCGTACGTAGCTGGAAGAATGGATGAACAAATTAAAGAAACTTGAATATTACTGAATTTAGTCCAGGTTGGCAGATAGAAGCACTGGAAATAATAGGTTAATGCATCTAGACTAATATTGTAGCCATTTTAAAATGGATCGATATTCATTCTGTTTTTCACCTTTTTGGGGATCGCATTCAGACATCCACACACTTCGTTATATGAATCAAACCGATAGGCGACAACTTTATAAGCAAAAACTTTTGTCCAAGTCACCTTTATTCTTTTCCAGACTCAACTTTCTTCTATAGGTTATGTATACAGTTAGGTGACAAAAATACCTCATAATTAAAATGCAATTTGGGAGTGGATGGAAGTTACTGGAGAAATTTCGATCAACGAATAAATGTAGAACCCTGAACAAATTTGTGTCAGTTTAATTTGCCAAATTTTAACAAAACAAATAATGATTCTGTGGCGTGTGCTACTGATATGTTTATCAGCAGTACATAAAGATGATCATGGGCATAAAAACATCAAATAGCGCAGAGATAGATTTGACATCAAGGAGAGGAAATGAGCCAGCGTTGAGGAAAAACATGGGAGACACGAAAAGAAGACAAAGAAACAATACAAAAGGCATAAGTAGCACAACACTGAAAATCTGTGCAAATGACGATTTTAAGATAAGGTGTGAATAATTTCACTACACAGAGATACTAAATTCCAAATTAACATTCCTTTACCAAGTCCGTCGTCTTCTACAGTTACTATACTAGAATAACAAAACAGTAGTAGTCCTAGAACTTCTAATTAAAACTAGCTATTTACCAATACATACTCTGTATGTAACTAACGCTGTGGGAGAGTGAATCAGCTTTATCTGTCATGGCTCTAGGATTCCTCAAGAAATTATTTTATCAGATTGTTACTAGTATATAGACTTATAGATTCGGCTTACGAATAAGTTAGAGAATGAAAATTTATTAAGTTCGACTTTATGGAAGGCGTTAATATAATGTGTAAAAATAAAAAATGTAGCAAAATTTATTGAGAGCGGATGTATTTATTTTTAGGTTTAATGACATGAATGGAAAACAGGCATTTGATCACGAAAATAATAATTACGAGATTAACACTCAACGTATAACTAATCAATAAACTGAGTTACAACTCTGTAACAAAATAAATGAATTCACATGCAGATTTATTAGGTTAGTGGAGGCTAGACAATTTGGAATGTCACAAGAAAAATAAAAAAGAAGTAATAACTGAATATTTTTTTGAAATACAATAGAAAACAGCAGTTTTTTTCCTAGCAGTCTTTTAGCAATGTGTGTCTTAAGTTTCCTTGCCAAGTTGTCTAAAGTTACTTCCATTGTCACTTGAAAAATGATCAGTTCTCAACTGTATTTTGCTAATCTTTAGACTAACCAAGCTTTCAAAAGGTTTATCAAAATAACCTCTTTTCTGTAGAGAATTTCTACAAAAATAGACAATTAACTTATGGAATACAGGCGGAACATTTTTCAGAATTTTAAGGAAACACAAAATGTACTTCGAACAAATTCAAATCTCAGAGTTCAGTGCAATTAATACATTTCAAACAGTTGGTCATACCCAGATCCATAGTTACGATTTGAAACTTACCATCTAACAGTAGTACCTACAGAGTATCACTATAGTATAAAGTTGCTTTAAAAGCACAGGAGATAATTATTACCAGTAAGCACGTGAGATAATCATCCAAAAAGTAGGAACATGATTTGCAGAAAATAAAATTTATCTATTTAACTGATTCAAGGCTGACTAAAAGAGCATAACGATCGCTTCGTAACAAACTCAGTTTGAAAATTTAAAAAGATAATGTAAAGCAATCGCATGACAAAGTATGAAAAGGTTAATAATAGACAGGTAGATAAATGTACAGCTATACAGTTCTACTAAAGTCTTATTTTCTAGTGGTTAAACAGCACCCTGTAGAACGCTTGATAAAAATGAACCGAGTTACCGGTTTATAAACTGGTCTGAAAATATGTTGCACGCTGGAATATTACCGTTGTTCGTAATTTCAAAAATGCATCCATTTATATTCTACATGATAGTATTTCATGGTTACCAATCTTTATCGTTTAGACCACAGTGATTACCTACAAATATGGCTGAGAATCATTACAAAACGCTGTTACAAGTAATATTAAACAGCTATTATCCAAAGTGCATGTTAAGAGAGACTGGATGAGTATCCACTAATTGCTGCAATATAGGTCGGTTGCTATCATTTTTATACGAAGAACACCAAAAGACTTTTCTTGGACTAAGAACTCCAAAGTAATTCAGCAGAATGTAATTAATCACCAAGATACCGAACAGTAATCTTCAACGTAAAAAAAAATAATTGTATGGAACCAAAGAAGTATCAGATATAGTGACTACAAAGCAAAGAAGAGTTCAAAGCAGACGATGTTAAACTAACGAGAATTCGGGGTTTTATTAACTCCTTAAAATACTAAAACTGTAATATGATGAAGCATATGAGACTATTGATCATACTAAAAATATCCCCATCAGTAGTCATTTTAAGAGATTATGCAGAAACCCAACCAAAGCATACTGTTTTAAGGAAGTCAACGATCTGCTTCAAAAAAATATTAACTAAAATGGTAACTTTAAAAACGTCTTATATCATTGGTGGAGTCCTCAATGAGGAAAAATTCATAGGACAAAATCAGTAGAAGACAATAAAAAGTGTGAGAAAACAAAGGAAATAGATACCGGGTGCTGATAAACGGATAATTCATAATTTATTATCTGCATCACAAAAAAAGGGTTAATAACAATCAAGTAACAGTTCACGCTGTCATACTTTCCATCGGAAGAAACAGAATAAACTAGGAGTGACAAAACTAATGCATAAGAATGAAGTCAAGACAGAAAAGAAACAGTGTGAGACAAAGGGAGGATACAATAAAGCAAAATATTGTACTCTATGTTTACACTTACCCAAGGTATACTGCATTCACTGTGCTAGTTTTCAGTCATCAGTATAGACTAATTTTGACTTTGGTCACCATTTGTTTACCTAAACGTTATGTGTTCCTTACCTCAGCTAAAAAATATATCGAAAAGAACTAGACTTTAGTTTCTTGTGCACCCTCCCACAAATCTATTCATTGTTTTATAGATTTTGTTTCTGAACACATCAGCTTTATAAGTTGTATGCATATGAATATCAGTCAAACTCAAAAGTCAGAATTGGTATAACAAGGCCGGAAGTGGTATGAGTTTCATATTGGAAAGTTTTGACACAGCCACCCGATACGAATTAAGTTAAATTCCATGCACAACTGATGGCTCAATCATGAATTAACAGAAAGAAAACAACAATAGAAAGCTTAGGGGTGACTCTAAACTATAGCAGCTTTCAGAAGGCTCCAAGTCTTCTATCCTCAACCAATGAATCTTAATCTGAAACCGAAACCTTGACAGCGACAACTTTTCAATAATTTAATAATTCCCACTGTAGCATTAAGAACATAATTTTCAGCGAAGAAACTCTTTTCAACGAATTTATTATCAAGCTGTACAATCGTATATGCATCTACCAGTTCATCTGCTCTTGTGGAGCAAGGTACATTGGCCGTAGTCAGAGGACGCTCTCCACACGAATACGAGAACATATTCCAGCTTGGTTTTACAAGGGAGAAAGGAAATGTGTGCGAAGCTCTATTCTGGAACACCTGATCGACTTCTGTCACTCGGTCAACCCTGACCATGATTTCAAGATCATATGTAGAATTCATGCTAACTTCCCGCGTTTTCTTCGTTACAGACTTCTAAAGACAGCTGAGGCCTTGGCAATTCATGACTTTAAGCCAGACCTTTGTGTACAAAAGAGGTATACTTTTTTACTTTACTTCGGCTATCTCCTACGGGAGGATGAGCCGGCTTCATGAACCATGAAGTTTCATGGGAATTGGGTACGAGTGATGTCCCCAGCATCGCTCGGCCTTTTGTTTGAGAGTGCAGCTCTAGCCTTTACACAACCAAGTGTGACCTACAAGGCAGTAGGAGTGGAGTGGAGTAGGGAGTCCACTATCCATTGGCAGCCGGTGACCGGAGTCCGGTTCATTCGCCTTTTTGAATGGGGCCAGTCATCCAGGGCATCCAATAAGCCCTTTGTCCATACGTCTGCCGGTGAGCTTCATACGCCAGTCGTTGGAGGTTTGGAATCAGGGTTTAGCCATCTCCCCTAGACTGTCATCCAATGGACAGTCAACCCGGTGAAGAGCGCCGGGCACCCGCTTTTGCCCTCTCACTTTGGTGAAAAACACCCCCGCCACGTGAAGGCAGTGAGTAGGACTTCCTCAGGAGAGGCTATGTAAGACGCCCGGTCATATGGGAGCATTTCGAGAGGTGTACGGAGGGGTGGCCAACCCGCAGCGCAAGACACCCACCCCCGACCATCCTGAGGCTTTGGAGGCACAAAAGAGGTATGTACAATCCCTACTTCTGCCTTGGCCGTAGAGGAATAGACATTTATTTATTTAGTTATTGTATGTACTTTTCCCTTATTACTTCGATTATTTTTACTATTATTATTACGACTCTCACTCTGAATCTTTTCCACTTGACATTTTAAACCAAAAATTATTCATGTGTATACTTTTTATTTTTACAATATTAAATTCTATTTTATCAAATTTCACACCATGTTACGAAACATTTTATATCCGTCTACTAATCTTATAATTATATACCTCTCTCCAATATCTATACACCTTATGTATTATTCTATATATGACATTAATTATTGTGCCACTTGACATTAAACTATGAATATAATCACAAATATTTTAATTTCATTTCATACTATTATTATTTCATGTATTCACAGCTTTAACCTAACTCCCTCACCGGTTATAATTTCCTTATAAAACCATATATGTACGATTGTACAGCTCGATAATAAGTTGGTTGAAAAGAGTCTCTTCGCTGAAAATTGTGTTCTTAAAGCGACAACTTTGACCGATCAGAAGCCTCTATGGAAACGGCGCATAATTTCAATAAAACGTTTATATAGAAGTAATGCAATGTTAAAAAAGTTACGAAGGATAACGTCCTCGTATATGTCCCAGAAAAACCTCCCAATTTCTCATAGGAGTCTTGATACTTACGTTAAACCAAGCCCTGTACATAAACTCATCGAGATAATTGCATGTCATTGCACTTTTTGATCCATTCGCAGATCTGATCTGTTTTCTGAGGTGACTCCAAAAATTTTTGATGGAATTAATGTGAGTTCCATCGAAAGGATCGATGAAATGATTTGTATAGTTGACGTGATGAATATACCCCAGGGTTGATAGCCAACTAAAACTACTCCATTCATCTGTATGAATAGTTGTTTCAGGCAGCACTAAGCGTTGGATAATAGGCAATAGGACATTTGCAATGCAATTAGGGATCGCCTAAATGTATAATGTCGGTGTTATATATCCCCAACATCCACTGCTGATTCGCACTCAATCTCCCTCAGTTATATTTTCTTTTTACCAACACTGTCTCATCTACGTGAACAATGACGCCAACTCCGCCAAGTACTAGAGTCAGCGTGTTCATTTGCTATGATGTTGTCTCCGCAGTATTGGTACCATTGCATTACAGACACTTCTGAATGTTCTGATACATTCGGTGTTGTTGTTACTGGTTTTTCAAGCACCCAGTTATGACATATCATTAAAACTTTCGTTAGAGTTAATTTAGACCAGGCGAAAAAAGTACCCACGGAATCTGTAAACTAAGAAAGAACGCCATACCTTCTCGAACTGACTTTCTAGTTCGGCACTCATCGTACCTGTAAACAAATCCATCAATGCACCTAGTATATCTTTGTATACACATTACACCTCCACATTCACACATTTTGACCCTCCTATCAGTCTGTTCTTCAAACAGTAATCAAAAACAAGATCTGGAGCGAAATTGCAACAGGTGTACAGCATCCATAAGTACGCCTGGATAATGCGGAGTCATCTGATTGGTTGCTCAAGATCATTTACCCGTTCGCTCGGTAGTTTCGGCTTGGACTGCTATAGTTTAGTTACCGCATATTTTAAAATGATAATCGCCACTGATAGTTAGTAAACCCGCTAGTGCACAGTATCCATTGATGATAAAACTAAAGATTCCATGAATTCAGCTTTCAAACTTAACTGCTATTTGATGCAAATAATTTATGAGCAACAAATGCCATTAGTCAGTAAAAAGTTTGAGCACTGTGGAATGCCATATATAATCATTCTGGAAATAAATTGTCTAACATAGGTGATGGGACCAAAAGCTTATCAAAGCATTACTGAAGGTATTGCAATTCTGCGGTTTCGAAAAGACAAACAGAGTAGAGAAACAATAGGGATATACTATTAGGACCTAAAAGAGAGGTCGGTCAATACTTGATTATACTGCTCCCAGAGAGGCTCGAGTATGATAAAAGATTATGTACTTCATTATGTCTCGCTCAAAATCCTGATGAGAAACAAAAACCAAGCTCACCTAGGTATTGAATAAAAAGCAACTAAAGACAGCGAAACCTCACTATGAACCCAAATATATCGACATATGTAACCTACTAAAAGTATTTTGCATAGGTTAGTTATCAAGCAACACTTAGAACACCCAATGTAAATTAGAAATAAACACTATGAATATAGTAAGGACGAATACCAGATTTCTCAGACGAAATTAACTAGAGCTGCTGTCTATCAGATCAAATTATAAACACAAGATTATGAACAAATATAAAATTACACCAAGAAGCTTTGAGGCACTAGAAAACATGGACGAATTATGGCAAACGGCATTTACGGTAGTGACTGAATGACTGTTTTCAATATAGAACTTTGCACCGATGTGCAGAACTTCAAGTCACCACACTCCATGTAGCACACAAATCAAGAGAAGAAATGCATAATAAAGATAAACAGAACTGTGAGACAAAGGAATAGTAATAACGAAGAACGATATAGTTCCATTGGAAATTATAAGTCACAGGGAATGGGTGAATCTGGACCATTGACAACGACGATATTGAGCCATAGCAGTTACTGTCTACAGCCACTGGTTTTTACCATCCCGAGGACCCCAACCGGTTAGGAAGTCTGCACCTTCCTACGTGGCTTAAACTAACTGTTGTGGATATCATTGACTGATGCCATGTTTTGGTTTGACCACCGCTAGCTCTTTTCCAGCCTGACCCTATGTCAGATAACATTGCCCATTGTCGAGGAAGGCAATGACTAGGCATACGTAACACACGTCCTAACCATCTAAGTCGATGTAGCTTCACAACATTTACGGTTTAGTGTGAATATAAAAAACGCAGTTGCACCTAGTCACTAAATCTATATACAATGATAATAATGTGACATTAAGATGAGAAGACTGAACTATACTTAGATATAGAAGCCGTATTGTTAAATTTAGTGTTATCATATTCAGTATTCAAAAAGGATCAATGAGTAACTTGACTGTATGAATTTGTGGACAGCCGTTATTAGTTACATATGTACAAAAGTATTGGACGAAGAGTTAATAAGGATGAACGATGTAGTCACTACTAAGCTTTGTTAACATTATAACATACTGCAGGATAGATAGGGACTTTGTAGTAGTGAATGAACTTCAGCCTTTGGGGTTCCCAGATGTCTAACTGCAATAAAAACAAATACATGTTTGAAAAATATCTTTTCTAAATTAACTTGACTTTTAGTATTGACTAAACATGTTTTTGGTGTTGAGTGAATAAAAACAAGTACTTACCGCCTTTCCCAACAATTTCAGAAACATGATCTTTGCTTGGAACGCGTACTCCTAACTGAAGATAAGCTGCCTTGGTCTTCGCTTCAGTTTCCCCATAACGATTACGGAAATAGGCTGAAATCCTGCCATAGGACTGGCTAGTAGAACGACGTGAATTTTCTTTAATCCTTTCCAGTTCAGAACCAACAATGAAGCCATGTTTTTGTGCTATAGCATAGTAATGCAAACGATCTTGCATCAGCAGACCAGGTCCCATGAAGTTATGACAGCTGTTACTTGAATGAGAAGAATGGATTGAAGGGAAAAGTTCTCTCTGTGGGCAGTAAGCGGAGTTGGAGTTCGTAGGACGAAAACCGGGGAGCGAAAATGCAGCGTCCTGATATAATCCATTTCTGGAGATAAGGTTTTGTGATGCATTGCCGAAACCGCTTACTCCACTTGAAAATAACGTACCGGCTGGTCCTGGTGACAACCCAGGAAATTGTCGCTGTAGTTGTGTCTGCAAATTTGCAGGATACTGATTATAAAATGGAGAGTTCTGCAAACTGTGCCGATCGCCACTTCCAGTTCCACCATTCAGATTCAGTAATGAATGCTGTGGGATGGAGGTTAACTTGTTGCTAAGACATGGGGATGTAAGAGCTGAGTAAGGAGGTGCTCCAATCTGCGTGTGGCGCATACTGAGGAAACTATCTGGTAAATCAGTTGCAGATATAACAGTTGGAGGAGGGGTACATGAACCCGAAATAGGGCTTATGGGGACACCGCCATACATTCCATTATCATTTGAAGAGGGACTTAAAGATATCCCACTGGATGTTCTGTCGTACATGTGTGGAGTTGGAACATTTCGATGACCTGGAGACCCAATATTAAAGCCTGCATTTCCAGATTCTGGTAGGAGTGAACACGTATTAACTGGGTTATATTCATTGTTATTTCCACTTATATGAAACTGTCCATCTGAATTTGATTGTTCACCATTAGCCATAAATGACAATAACCTAGCACTCAGGAGGTCCTCACCATCGAAATTGGCCATACTTACAGTCGGCATTTCAAATGGGGAAACTTGAGCAAAACCGGAACCAGTCACCGGGATTTGTACGCCCTCTGCATAACAATGAATAGTTGTATGACTTATTTAGAAATAGTTATATGACATAAAAAGCGGAAATTCTGAACTGTTTGGTAGGTTCATTAACAATTGGAAGAAGGCGTACAAGTTGCACAAACAACTAATATGGTAAATCTGCGAGGCGTTAGACAAAATGCGCCACGTACCTAGTATTGAATTCGTATGTGCAGCAGTAAGTAGTGTATAACATATCTTAAGTACCAATATGAATTTGATTGGCTAAAATAATTTTAACTCATGCTTTGTCTGTATGTATTGGCTAACGATCAATTCTGAAGTCCAATGTCTGTCTACCTATGCGGCAAACAACAAAACATTATAGCTTAGAGTATAATAGACGAACATTAACAAATGACCGATTGACCTGATTAATTATGATTGGCTGAAATAACAACCAATCACAACTAAAAGCTGTCAGCCCTCACACCTACTTTGCACGGCCCTTTATAGACTAAACAGAATATAATTCCATGTTATTTCGGGCATGATTAGTAAACAAGATTATGTAATCTCTCTTAGAACTAGTTATGGAGATGTGGTCAAACCATCTTATGCTTGAATAAGGGTTTTTTTAAACATCTTATGCTTCCCTGCCTGACCGATTATCTGGTAGACTTTGTCCTTTCAGATCATTTGCCTTCCACTACTAGGATTCAATGTAATTTCCAGACCGGAATTTGTGATGTTGAAATCATTTATTCGCGTTTAGCACCTTTGGTATCAAAAACGCAGCCGAAGATTGATTTGTCATTAAACGTACTGTTCTACCTATCAATTTGCTAACCTGTTTCTCTTATCTGTCAGCTGCTGCTAGAAACTCATTTTATTAGAGATATTAAATATAGATATAAAGGAGAGTAGGATGAACGCGTAACGAAATCTCTTCCTTAGAAAATTAAAGTGACTCTTGATGAATACCACGTGGCTAAATTATTTAAGCATGGTGACATTTGTACTACAAATTGTCACTATGTACTACCACATGTATGTACGAAAGCTTAAAAGTAAAGTTAATATTTAAGTGATTTGAACTGAATGTAGACTCGAATCTGTTAACAGCTGCATAAATGATTTCCAAAACGATTAAAACCATATTAGCTAAGGAAACAAGTACTTCATCAAGGCAACAGTAAAGAATAGATACCAACTACAGGAAACCTTGTAACAGCCAATTACATTCTTCTAGGTGGAAAGTGGTAGTGATTTATGAAAGAGTGCATTTATAAGACTGAACTTAACCCTCACGTTCAAGGTCATCGGTGGAGTATGACACCTGAGGGTCATTTTTGTCTGTTAGTCGGCCATGTTGGATTGCAGCTCCCTAACCGTTCGTTTACGAATTGGATTTTACGTTTATCCGGCGAAGTTCAACAATAGCATCCCAGGAGTGCGGACGCTCCAATAACCTTGAAAGCATACTAGTCGTTGGCTAACTACACCTGTCATTTTGATAGCCGAAATATGAAAGCTGTTCACCAACTAAGTAGCAAATTTCACTCACATCACATTTGTAAGTACTGTCTGGGCAATGTGTTAATAGCTCGATAGGGTTAGGGTAACTATTGGAGTAAGGGTTAGGATAAGGGTCGTAATTAGAGTTAGGTTTACAATTAGGATAAGGGTTGTAATTAGGGTTAAAACAAAGGTTAGCGTCGGTGTTAAGTTTAGGGTTAGGTCCAGGACTAAGGCTAGGGTTACGATTAGGGATAGATTTAGAGTCGATGTCATTTGTTTTAATTTGCTTTATCCACATTTTCCTGGTAAGTAGTTGTCGATCCTCCTACTAGAAACCATAGTAATTTAGCCGACAACTTTTGGGGAAGACTGCACAACAGGATAAGAGAGATAATCGATCCACAAAAACAGCTCATCTTCAGTTACCTCGGTGAATACATGTACCTAAAATAATTTAACTTAGCAACTGATACTCCTCATTGTAGCTGAGACGTATTTTTAAGTTATGTCAGGGAAAAATACCCTGTTTGATGTGTTTTCATGCATTTTGTTGTAAATATACGTCATTTTTTGTACGAAAATTCCTCATTTTTATGATTGGTTGACTGAGGGTCACTCATGTGTCCGCTTTCCTGGGACGCTATTGTTGAACTTTGCCGGCAAGACTTTAACTAGTAAGCATAACGATTCGAATTGTGGTCTACAATCGGTGGTTTTTTTCGAAGTTTTGAGGAGCTGATTATTCGGAGTGGAAACACTGACTGAATACAAATCGCTTGTTTCAGTCCAAACAATGAAATTCTTATTTTGGATGTTTGTAATTTCTCCGTGGCTATAAATACGGATGTGCATGGTTTTTACGAAGACTTTAAATAAATTTTCCTTGAACCGTTGGTCCTCTTTTTCTTGGCGAGACATCTGTTGATACGATTAGAAGATTGGGTTGCAAAGTAGAATGTTCTGTGGTTGAGAATCATAGTCTTTATGTTTCGGATTAATATTGCTCGTCTAACTGTTATAACCCTAAGGATATAGCTTTTTCGTCATGGTGCGTTATGATACCTAGAAATCATAAGCACACTGTCTTCGATGAATTTATTTTTACTTTTTAAGTGACTGCGAATAGTGAGTCGTTTAAGGTGCTAGGATAAATACCTGAAGACACTTTCGTGGAGATCAGGATATATTTATTTTTTCAACTAGGAGACGATCTTTTCACCAAAAATTGTCCGCTTTTATTTTGTAATTCAAAGACAACGTTAAGTTGTTCACTAAGTTGGTAGCTACAGGAGATTACCTTCAGCAGAAACTATTTTAGGGTGCTGAGATTTTGTAAATCCCGGTTTAATTATACTTTGATAAAGCTATTAGCACTAAATAGCGAAATGTCAGTAAAGACAATATCGTTTTGTTTTTTCATTCATTGGGAAATACAAAAACCTTTATCATAATGAATATCATATATCCAATGCCCAAATTTCTTCAAACTGCTAAAAGTGAACTTGGTTTGGACATATATATTTTAGGGCAGCTACGTAGCTTTAGTTAATGCGCAGTAAGAGTAAGCGGCGTACGTTGATTGTGTCTAAATTTATTAAACATTGTATAACTGGTCAAATCATAGTTCCTACATGCTACTTAATCTTAAGCGTTTACCTAGCTCATAAAAATTATGCCTGCATGTGGTATACATTTAAGGCTAATACGCTGTGTGATGAATTAGTTCGAGATACTTAACTTCAGACTTGATTTCTTTATCGCTATCATCAATTATACAACGGTCATGGGAATTAACAGCTTCATCCAAGTTTATTTTACATCGGAAGCTGAAATTAACATTCTGACATTTGGAAGGATTTAGTTTAAGACCATTTTCTGACTCCTGATAGAGAGCTTTTCATCTTAGTACAGTGTAGCTGGGAGTAAACAGACATCTAAATAGTTAGATCGTCCGCGTACTTGACAAAGTTAATTTCGTATGCTTATGTACATCGAATTCGTCAAACAAAAATACAATTGCTTATAGTTATTTTAACAAACAAGTGAAAATTAGTAAGTTTTGGGTGGAGTTACGTAATACAAAAACGGTCAATAAAACTGGATGTTAATAAAACGAGTGTAGAAAAACGCTAGGCAAACAATCTGGTCCTAGGCTACAAGAAGGGTTCAGTGACTGGAGACATTTTAGAACATCATTTGTATTGAAACCAGGGAAGCAGGTTTCATTGACACTTGTGACACTAGGAAGCTTGGCATTTGTGAGAGAATGTATGAAATGTACATATATCAAATGAATGGGGAACACTTTTGTAATACTTGTTGTAATTAGATGCATAAAGCAGACACGTAAATACTGCAGTTGTTGATCATAAAAGTGTTGAGTATTAGATAACATCACATGATTCAACGACATATTGGAAATAAATAAAAAACTTATTTTGGCTCATTGTCAAGTGAACACTCTATTTGACGATATCACTGCATATTAACAGATTAAAGAAGTAGCTATCAAACCTAAGTTACAACATTCACATTTTGTACAGACTTGGCGTTTAGCAGTATACAGACTTACAACTGGCTAGATAAAGCGAATTTAGCGTATTGAACAGTACAGAATTATTTATTCAACTTGCTAAATCCTACTTAGTTTTTACAATGTGCTATTGTATAGAAACAGACACGAAATCTTACGAATGACTAAAGTAACAGTCTCATAATATTATAGGGAATCTCCATTCCACTTACTAAACTTAACATACTTCAATCCGAGTTCACTTATTACAAAAGCTCATAGTATAGCGACTCACCGAAGTTCAGAAGAAGTAAAAATTAAGAGTATATTAAACACTTCATTAATTTTCAAAAAAATGGATACTGAACGAAGAGTACTCTTTTCGATAAATTCATCATCAGGCTCTACATTTATACATTTCATTAGTTTACAAATGACAAGTTCTGATGAAGGGTATTAACGTTAGTTGGAACGAATGACATTTCCTCTGATTTTATATTCGACATCTTCCGTATACCTGAAAAAATTAATCACATGTAAGGACTGGCACAACATGAAATTATAGAAGATAATTCTACATATTAGCATACAATATGAATACACTGATTCTATTAATACTAAGTAGAATTCCCAAGCAAATAAAAGTATTTGTAGTCCACAGCTGGTTTTTATACTGACACCGTATGCATAAATAGACTTCATATGCTTTCCAGCATTAGAGGATCATACTCGAATTTCAAGACAATCTAAGGAACATCCATACTGTTAAGGTATTATTCTCTCATCAAGATTGCTTGCAGACCAACTTCACGCTAAATACATATAAATTAAAGGAAGTATTGCAAATGTGTAACTTAGATATCGATTCACAATCCCACTAATGTCTATTTAACATGGTTTTGTGAATCCTATAGAAATTACATTCTCATATTTGGGAAACTATAGCTATCAAATATTAGCTGAAATTTGTCTCAACTTTATGCAGCTATGCACAGTGTTAAAAGTATA